CCGGTTCACGGATGGTTCCGCCATCCGACGACTGAAGCCCACCTTGTACCAATAACGTGACCTTCGTCGATCTTCAGTCGTAGGCATTTACTTGATCCTATCATTCCATGCATGTTATCGGCCGCTTGAGAGTACACGAAGTAAACCAGACTCACAGTATGTTGTCATAGAGCTTTCATTCGTAACAGTGCTACATTCGGAATAGTGGAATAGTGTTGTTTCAAGGTCATTAATTTGCATCGACTTCTCTCTGTGTTTTGCTGTGTGCATCCAAAGCGAAAATTTTCGATTGTGTCGTCTGAGACTTGTTTTTGCCGTTCTATGTGTTGATTCTGTGAATGGCACATCGCGCACCCTGTGTTTAATTGCCCCATGATTGCAGCAGTTCATTCGCTAATTATTTTGGGCATGCTTGTTTATCGTCTACACTCCTGAATTCCCTCTTTTGTTTAGGCAACTTGTGAAAAAGTGCCAGCAAAACACCATCACATTGTAACGATGCTCCACTGCCATGGAACCGCGGTATGTTGGTCATCAGCTGGGATGAATTAGGGACACTCGAACCCGTGATTGCTTTTGCAGTTCCGACGCTGATCTTCCTTGGCAACTGGATCACAAGCAAATTGCGAGTGACGGCTCATAGATTGCTTATACCAAACGAATTTAACTTCCTTTCCAACTTTCGTGCTGTCCCGTCTGTCATTGACGATTACATGGGTTCAGTTAGTAGGCTGGGCATTGGCCCAGGCATCATAGGCCAAAGACGTTCCTGGTAAGCATGCTTTTAGGTCCTAATCGAAGCGCAGTCGAACGTATGAAAAACAACTATGATGACATGTTCTTTAGTTGGTCTTCGTAACGTACATGCGACATATGACACCGAAAATGATATGAAGACCGCGAGCATTCGGTTTACAAGTGGCTACACAGCAAGTGTCGGTTAAGTCATATATCCTTTTGACTTCAAATTTTGCAGAGATCAAGTGAAAATCATCGCTGTATGGTTTGAACAATTCATGGAATCGCACCCCTAAGTAGTCGCATCCAAGTAGTCGTGTTTCACTCGACGTGAAGCATCTAGGAACGGGTGTAAAATTGTGCATCTGGGTGCACAATGAAGCAAACGTTCACAATGGTACAGGAAGGAAAACATCTGTTGACAAGAGAAACGGTAGAACGGAAAACTCATTCATTTTTTGGTCGGGCATGCCATGTACAGGGAAATCGATGGCGGCAGTGTCCGAGGCAAGTACATAATGCCAGTAGCACTAAACAGGGCAGGGAAAGAGGACCAAAATGGATTAGACGGCAAAGCATAGCACCCGTGAATCAGGTATCTGTCAATCAAGACGGACAGTACCGGTGATGCGTAATGAGCGAATTTAGAAAAAATGGGGCTAACGCGAAGGAACGGAATTTTGAAACCAGTGGAAACACTCATCGGTAGCGCTGAGAGTGAGAAGAATTCAGAAGTGGAACACGGGAGATGTTTTCGGTGGAGAGGATTATGTATAATATAATTTAGACGCAAGACCGAAGATGAAAAATGGTTGTGGTGAACTGAACACCTAAGATATAATCTTGTTTGTGATATACAGTGGCGTACAGGATGGATCACAACTGATGCAACGCTTGGAAAAACCGTACCAACGGCAATGTGCAAATAGAATTCGTCACAGCACTAATGAGGTGGAATCGTATCAAACATTCAGCAGACGAGATAAGCATCCAGCAACAACAATACACACCTGTCCCACTCAGAGGCATATTGGAGAAGTAAAAACAGCTCTGCCCCTCGCACTAAAAAGCAAACAATGCGACTTGGAGAGGATGAAATATGACGCACAAGGCAGTTAGTTCATCACTATGAGATTTCGGTGCATCGGAAATCATCAAAGACCAAAAAAAGTGTGTTTGCATGGTCCGCCCTAGATACTAATGAATTACTGCGTGCGGTTGAGACATTTAAACAAATTCGGAGCACCGAGAACAATTCACAGGCATGCAGACATTGTTATTTGGAAACTCGGATACAAAAAACTACAGACTGTAAGAGGGTCTAAAAGAGGCAGTGATATGTGTTAACAGATAGAATGGGGTTCAGCAGCGCGGCTATATCGCACCTTTCCTTTCAACCTGGTAGACGAAAATATCACGAATGACAATGGCCCTACCACCGTTTGCGTAATAAACCGTCTATTGCGTCACCGACCAACAGGGCAGGAGTAAAAAAAAACAAAGTAGCGCCCTTTCTGTTGGGTTCTGGTGGTGCCCAAGCAAGGTGGAATACCCAGACAAAGCCCGAGGCGCTCTTCGGCATATAACTTGAAGGTTCGAGGTACTGCGGCAGGATATACCAACCTGCCATTCGTTCTCACGATTGATCGTACCAATACGGTCGTATACAACACAAGAAAGAAAGAGAATGCGGTAGTCGAATACAGGTCAAAAAACGTGTCTGCGTACGCCAGAAGCGGGAACACATCACCAACCGGAAAACGTGCATGCAATTCAGAGCATGAACTTCGCGTAGGGGATGACAATTTCTTAGCTATGCCAAAAGTGACTAACCTAGTGGGATGTTACGTAACAAATCGCCAAACACATGAGAAAGGTCCAGGTTTCATTTGACGTGGCATTACCTTTACAACAACAAGTGTGCGCTGAAGGCGGAGGCCAACTGAGCACACCTCCACATTCTGCGTATTCATCTCGTGTTCCCCTCTTAGTTGGTAATGTCAACCCCAATGTTCCCACCAACAAGTATGTACCAACGGTGTCCGCTTTTAATTCCTCATTCACACAGGGCATTCACACACGACTCGGTCATGGCATCAGTCAAGTTCGAGCCTCCAAGTGCGTGCTGAAAGGAGGGGCCGAATGAATCATCTCATTATGCGTTTAAATGTTCCCAACATATTTTGTTGAAGTTTTCATCCCAGTAGTTCAGATGCTACATAGCACAGCCTATCTTAGCCGCCCCTTTTGTCTCAGACTGACCCTAGTGCAGGTCAGGTGTCCTTGAGTATTCTTGACCCATGTAGCCCGTCGCAACGCGTCACAAACTACATATTTATTTACAGCAAATGGTACTTATGGTTCAATGTATATACCTATTCTATGAAACACCCTCTTGAACGCGTCATATTTTTATAGGTAAAAAATAGCAAACCTTTTCTTTCCCTCTCTTCTCTGAGTCAAGATAAAACTGGATATTCGCCGCACAACACAACCGTCAACAATGAAGCCTCAACCCTAAATCGAAGAGTATTACCTAGCTGACATTAGTTGAGTATACCGCATCGACCTGTTGCACAGGGACCAGTAATCCTCAAAAGATGACTGAAATTCCATCCAACGGAATATTATACATTTATAAACTCTAGTTAGGCCATGAACACAATAACCATGCGGTATGACATAACCATTATGAGAATGATCTATCGCAGAAGTATATAACGCAAAGCACGACTTCTTTCTTACAAAATCTGCGCAGGTTTTGGCAGCCACAACCATCTACGCAATCGGTGAGCCGTTAGTGTACCAGTCAGGGGCAGTCTGTACGATGATGTGGCGAGCCAGCGTTACTGTGTGCATAAAAAACGGAGTGATTGTGTGTTGAAGCCATGGAGGTCACACTTGACTAGTAGCGTCTGATGGAAAGCCACTAGATAGGCCTTGATAGCTGTCGGTTGGTGGTAAAACCTGTGCTACCTCGGCCATCCATCACACTTGAACTGCCGCGTCGGGGTGGTCACATCCTCTACAATCCTGCTGGAAATCAATCTCCGCGAATGTTGTCTATCGATGGTGCATCCTGTCAAACTGGGTGGCTGTGGAAACTCGTGAAAAGATTGTGTAACACAACTGGTGGGGTCGGCGTGCGCGGCCAGGGACTTCTGATTAGTTCGGATAAGCAGAAGCTGCGAAATCAATCGATTTCTTTCACCTAGCCTATGGAGCAGAACGATTAACCATTCCATTTCATGAGCACGAACATTTTCGTACCCTACTTTCCTGGAACGTTCGATTTTTGCTATGAGCTTCTGGCTCACTCTGCTTCGTTACTAATTAGCACCAATTATCATCAGTGTGAATTACAATGCACGAAAATGAATGATAGTACTGACAATTTATGAGTAGTGAACTTTGGTTTAACATTTCACCACGCCACGAACCTACGGCGATTTGCAGTATCAGATGGAGTGTAACCGATAATTATCTGACATTCGCGTTCATTTATATGTTGATACTTTTGTTTATATAACAGCTCCGCCTTTTAACCATAAGCTGAGCCTAAGTGTCTGGTCCTACGTTTTACTGCGCGGTGTTTACGGGGCCTACATTACTGTTAATTTTCGAACTTGACTGGCTTTATTTTGCATCCGTTTTGCGAGTCTATTCACCTATTCGTAATTCAATCCTGTATCTTTGATTATAAATGTTTGTAGAACCATGGTTTATTCAGTACGAATTAGTTCGCCCATCGCCTTCGTATTTTACCGCCCAGACCGTGGGTACGTCCGTTTGGTGATTAGGCTTGTCAGCCGGTGGTAACGGTGGCAGCTACAATCAGCATCATTATGAGTATGCAGACGCGAGTACCGGCAGCTGGGCTTATTAGCCTTTAGTGACTGGGCCATAGTTGACTATCTGGACAAGGGTGAACCGAAGCTGGTAGTAAGGGAAGCCTACACTTGGACAGCGGGGAAATCCACTCACTCAACGAGCTACGTCTGACTATGAGAATGTGCAACGACCGAGAGGACGCAGCGTTAAGCATAGGTTTCGAGAAGATTCAAATGTGAAATCAACTACCGTATGCAGTTGCTTCGGAACGAGTTCGCCTCGTTGGCTCTAAACATACCGGGTGATTCGATTACGCGCGCACTGATTGCGCGGCATGGTGGTGGTAGGGGCAGGAAACATTTTGATACCATAAGTAGTCTAGCGATTTGCACGGTTCGGATGACATAATACGAACTCGAACAAATGCCTACCTCCTTTTGTACTTAACAACGACATCGAATCCGAAGTGGAATCCGGTCCAACGCCAACTGCACGTCGTATCGCCGTTGTGCATCCGACGACCGCACCGTTCGGAGGTGGCCCAAAAGACATCTTCGGGTAGGTCGCTTCGTGGACCCGGCTCCTCCACTCGCAACGCATCAGCTGCGGGGATCGGCAGTGTGGATTCACGACCAGTCAGAGTGACGCGAATACGTGACGCGTTGTTAGCCGAATCGGAAGTAGCGCCTGTGCTGCTGCTGTGGCCGTGTCCGATGTTGCTGGAACGGGTGTATTGAGTCTGCAGCTCATGTGTGTGCAGGAGACGAAGCCATTGCTGGCAAAACACTTTGCCGAGCCAAGCTATGATGTGAAAGTAACACGAAAAGTAGTGGTTCAGGAGAGTACAAGTAGGAAACAGTAGTACCTAGAAACTGAATGCAATGCAGTATCACACAAATGAGAAGCGATTTAAGTCGAGGGTAATTGTGAGCTTGGGATACCGTCAGGTTGAACCCCGAGTCACGTCGGTTGGCCTCTACCGTCTATTTTCACTACCAGAGTGAAAACCCAAGTCAAAAGAAGAAGATGCGGCAATTCGGGGCTTCTGCTGACGGGTGGTGACCTTCTGGATGAGTCTATGCGTGGTGAATTCAACCTATCGCATCATGTAAATATCCCTACTACTTCCATTGTCATCAGTACTCTGTCCGGATTGTTTATAACGGCATGGGCGGATCGGTAACTCAAGTTTGGGAAGCCGCTGCTCCATGGGGCTACCCTTGCATAAATGTGAAAGTCAGTAGAGAGTGAGATGCTATATCACGAGTAACGCAGTCATACGGATAGCCCGATAATAATCACTGACTCGTGAGAGTAGAGTCGCGGTTTCTGGTTTCACAGGGGAGGAACAGAGTGTGCGTGACTGACGATTCCCGAATGCATCAAACGGCTGTTCAACGAATGTTTTCCCGAACGTGAGAGGGACAGTTAACTGTCGAGATGGTGAATCCGAGGTTTATCACTTTTAGGTCGGTAGTCAACTTCCTTCGGCTCGACTTTGTCTCCGGTTCACGGCAATCTGTTTCATACTCGTCTGCAGTGTTGTTTGCACTGAACTGGACCTACAGTGGGGGTTACTTAGCCGACCAGCATGATTAAGGTGAATCAGTGCCTCGCCAACGAACATGCCGGCGGTATCCGATTGGTCGATTATCCAGTGGGATCACTTCCACTCGACTGAATGGACAGCCAACATCCACAGAACCGGAACAATATCATCCAGCCTAGTGATGAAGCTGATCTGAGAGAGCCGGTCAGTGTGGATGGAGTCACGAGAGTGTCAGCAGACGGAGCTGAACGTATGAAACGCAACTGAGCGGATATACAACCAACAGCGTGATGTGATTAGAGATCAACACTAGTGGTTGCCAGATTCGACTATTCTGCGTAATGCAGCACCACTGGTAGCAGACGAACTGCCTTGGGAACAGCCGTTCTGGAAGACATAATTGTATACGGGGATGTACACCTTTGAGCAACAAGAGTTGGTGGGTAGCAGTGAGGAAAGATAATAAGGTACCGTATATTAGTAACCATGTTCGAAGTATCGGATCAGTAGGTTGCAGCCAGGCTTCGTTAAGTTTCAACGGCAAAGAATAGGAATAACGGTAACAATGCTGTAGGCCGTAACGGCGCTTCGCTGTCGCGCGACCATCACCAGGGATGAAACCAAATGCTAATAGCATACGGTCACGCACAGCCGGTGGTAATATCAGGGGAAAGTGGTATCGACGAGGTAGATCCAGTGAGGCAGTGGATGACACCGTGCCAAAATTAACCACAACCGATAGACAACAGCATCAGGTACACTTAAAGCCTTCGGTATGGCTACAAGGAGGCAGAGAACGGGTTAATAAGACCAATCGCAAGGCACGTCCAGTAAGGTATCGAGGCCGGCACAGTATGGGCAGTTTACGCCTCAAGACAAAATATGAGACGCGTCAATAGTGCTAGGTTTGGTTGACAGTATTAACGACTGTACCCCCCTTTCCAAACCTTAGGCCCACCCAGATTAAGCAAATACATTGCCTCACAGATCCATAAATAAAATATTGAGAAGCAAGTTATGAGATGACAGCCATTTCGCACATGTTCATCAATCGCATACACGCAACTAACGAGTACAAGAGAGAGGATAGGGGGAATTGGTCAGTGGCCAACTAATGCGCTACCACGGTAGACTCAGAGTCATAGCCAGTTGTTTCTGCACGCAGCATTGTGACCGTTCTCGATCAATTGGTGATGGTTTCCAGCAGTCTAGGGATGTGGCTTTTTGATTGCACATCAAGACGGTGAATGACTCATAGGGGTTGACGCGGTGGCCAACGCCCAGGATACGCACGGTGATTGCCGAGACAACTCGGCTCCTCGATTCACACGATTCCGTCATCGTTAGCAGTTGGGAAGTAGCGTATCAATTCTGACATTCAAGCGACAATCGGCGCACACAACATAGTTGTCTCTATAGCTACAGGTAAATTTGTACACACAAAAGAACACGCACCACCTCGTCCGTCTCTTACTCGGACACACCAGCACATGAAAATTCGAAGGAACAGCTTCTGAATGTTATATCGAACATGAATACAGTTGCGGTACGTTGTGGATCTGGGGGCCAACCTTTTCTTCTGCAAAGTCTGTGACTTGAATTGCGGTGGGGATGGTCCACGTTATACCACAGTTACTAGCCATGCCGGTCTATAGCTGTTTCCAATGGTATAAAGGTATAACCCGCGACATCGAGAGGTAAGGAGCTCGGTTCCTAGTGAGGCAGGGAGTGCGCACTATTCATGTGTCTTAATTAGAACGGAGCCACGGATGATGAGAAGCTGGGTAAGTTTGAGCTAATGCGAAAAATTCCCAAATTAACAAAGGAACTGAGCCAGAAGCGCATCCGACGGTGGAAGACGTACAGTGAGGAGAAACGAATACCTGCACATGCCAAAGAGAGCTCCCATCGTGAAGTGTAGTTAGCCGGTAAGTTGATTAAAAAATGACGAAGGGCGAATCCTCAACACAGAAATGACGTGAACAGAGAAACCGGCACATGTGCACACATATCTGGCAATGTCGGAGTTGAAAGGTGACAGGGGCTGCAGTGAGATGCGCTAATAAAAACAGTGCAACGGATACAAGATAGCACCATTCCTGTGACAAAAGTGCCTAAGAGTACCTTCGGGGACGACGCGATCGCGCATCATCCGCTCAGTCGTCTTGTACACATTGATGACATACTCCCATCGGATAGCCTGAAAGGCTGGAGCGTAGCGCAAACCTTCAGGGGTTTCCAGAAAACTCTGACCTACAAATGATAAGGAGAAACAAACATAATGTAGAAACATCAGGTAACATTCTAAAAGAACAGACAACCTTGATATCTTACAAAAAACGCAGTTGATCTCTTATTACTGTACATCTTCTGATCATTTATGGTCGTTGAACTGAAAAATGCTTTTATTTGTCTGAACATGCCGTCACAGCGTGTTTTGCCGAAAAAGAGAATATGCAATTTATTTATTTATTTGGCTCTGAAAAAAATGAGAGCGCATGTAATATGAGGACAGTAGGTCGGGACACCGTATTGGTTGGTGATCCACTGTCCTGCAGCCGGAAGCGATTGTACGTGATTGTGGATATTGTGTGGGTTCAAGATATATATATATATATATATATATATATATATATGTATATACATATACATATATATAATCACGGTTTGTTAGCAGACGTTGTGCCATCAGAACCATGGCCGAAGAAAAAATAGGGAGAATAGAGACACGAAATGCGATAAAAAATGGAGATATTTTGCTTTTGCACCCGCTATTTTGTTTGTTTGGGTTTTTGTGTGCATTAAAAGGGGATAAGATGGCAGAACAACATTGACACCACTGAGGTCTGTTGCGGGCCATGACATCGGATATTTCCAACCACTGAGATTCAGCATCGCATGGTCCCCAACCTGGAAGACTGACTGGTGCGGCTGCCGCCAAACTTGAGGTTGCCTACTTCATGCTCCATCGCCACATTGGCTGTCCACCGCGGCACTTTTCCAACCGCACCCTGGGAGTGCAAATAGCGCTCGACGTGGGAGGCGATAGGCTGGCATGCGCAAAACGTGCCCGAGCAAACGCATGCGATGTCGGAAAATAACGTTCTGAAGACTGTCACTACTCACTCCAAGCACTCGGTCTCGGACCTCTGCGTTGCTTAAGTGGTGTTGCCACCACACCCGAGCAATCCTTCGTAGGCAGCGATTGTTGAAGACTGACAACTGCTTCATGTCTTCCGAGCGAATAGGCCGTCTCACAGCCGTACAAGAGTACTGCACGGACGGAAGCATTGCACACCTTGCCCTTGGGATTGAAATCACGACGATGCCATAGGTGTCTCATTTTGATGAATGCAAGATGGGTCTTTGTAATCCGCGGTGAGACTTCATTCCCAACACCGCCACCAGCCGTGATGCAACTCCCTAGATAAGTGAAGCAAGGGGCTTGCTCCAGAACATGTCCAGCAATGGTGAGCGCGGGTTCAGGCACCTGCCAATCCTGTAACAGCGTTTTACATTTTTCCGGGTTAAAGTATAAGCCGTACTTAGACGCCTCTATCGCTAAGCGGTCCAAAGCGCTCTGGACGGTTTGTAGGTCGTCCCCCAGCAAGGCGATATCATCGGCGTAGTCCAAGTCCGTGACTGTCTCCAAAGAGGAGCGCAACACCGCAGTTCTGGACACCTTCCAGTGCTCTTTGGACGACGTATTCGATGACAAAAGTGAAGGGGAAAGGTGAAATAAGGCAACATTGGCGAACCCCGCTGGTCACAGCAAATGAAGAAGAGAGCGTGCCGTAAGCCCTGACTTTGCCCGACGTGTGGTTGTAAAGTTCTTTCAGAATAGAAATTGAGTGTTGCCCGCCCGAAAACATTCTTTCAGAATGGTTACAAAGTTGTCGGGCACATCTTTCTTCAGTAAACAGTTCCACAACGCAGATCTATCTACTGAATCAAATGCCGCTCGGATGTCCAAAAACACTACGATCGTTGGCCGCCGGTGGATGTGCCGGAGTTCGAGAACCTGGTGGGGCGTAAAGATTTGGTCGATGCAGACGCGACATGGAAGAAATCCGGATTGTTCTTCTCGGAAAAACTCCTCTCTAGTCGTTGAAGGCTTGCGAAGTAGGACAAACACGAAGATTCTGGATGCGACAGAGATTAACGAGATTCCGCGGTAATTACAGCAATCGTCACGGGAGCCTTTCTTGTGAATCGGAACAATGACCGATTCTCCCCATGAGTTCGGAAACTTCTCTGCGGTTCAAAGTTTCGTGAACAGCGACAGGATTTCGCTGACAAGTACACTCCCGCCATCTTTGAATAGAGCCGGTGGCAGGCTTCCGGACCAGGAGCTTTGTGGCGTTCCAAAGATTGGATTGCATCTCGAATCTCTGCTTCAGTTGGGGTGCCTGTGGAGACAAGCTAAGCATCATCCGTTGGGGCTGGTGTCACAGGGGGCTGTGTTGAGTGGTTGAATTGAAGAGCGAAATGCGCTGCCCAGCGACCCAATCGCCTGTAAAGGTTGGTGATCTTCGTGCCGTCTGATTCGCAAATCGTCTGGCTGATAGCGTGGGAATTTCAGATAGTGGCCCTGATGATGCAAAATAGACGACAGCAGTTGCCGGCTGATGCAGCGGCTTTCATCTCATCAGATCGTTTTGACCATCAGGATTCATGATCAGAGCGAAGGCTTGCTTTCAGCTGTTGAGAAATAGACCGGCGGTGTTCGTTATGCTTTGCGCCAGAAGGAACCTCCCGTCGACGATCCAGCAATTCCAAGGATCTTACCGAGATCCAGCTTTTGGGAGTGGATCGAGGGAGGCCGCAGCTGGACAAACCGGCCGACAGCACGGCTTGTTGCAGACTTGACCAGTGTTGATCAACAGCCAGAGTGGAGGAGAGAGCGAGGTTTTCACGAAGCCTTTGTTGATACTCCTTCTTCAGCACTGCGTTCTCCAGCTTGTAGGTGTTCAGTTGGATGTGTTTGGACCAAGGTGAACAACCGAAACGCATGCAAACGGTTACATGATCCGGATCGACGCATGTTGATCAAAATGATCGGCAGTCGCGTACGCTGCCGCGCCACCTGCGACTTATGGCTACATGGATTCACAAACCAATGTAGGAATAAGGATAGGAAAACAGTGAAAACAGTTAGCAGGCTACAGTGCGTCTGACAATATAGGACCATTACGGCAATCGATCATGACAAATCGGAAACACTGCAGATGCAGGAATCACAAATAAACATAGTCACATCGAATTAGGATGATCGTACAGTTAATCTGCCAACCGTACGATCAGAACTGATATATGCTAGACGCGGATAACACAGTGCACCGATACCATACTCTACAGATAGAGACAGCTGAGCTGTAAGTCTCGAGTCTAGGAAGTAGAAGCTGCAAGCTGTACGCATGGCCACGCGAATTCCCACAGCTCAAGAAATACGTCTACTGACAAAGACATGAAGAGAACGTGGGTGACAACAATACTAAATGCTATGAATAAAGATGGCGGAACGTGAATCGAAAGAACGCTCAAAAAGAAACAGTGTAATATGAATTTTCGTAAAACGAATCGAAGCATGTGCAACCGGATAGGCTGATGTAAATGCACGAAAACTTCAGCAGCACACCAGCACGTCGTACGAACGCCTCGCTGCCAAGCGACCACCACCAGTTGTATGCGGGCTGGGGATGTTGACAGGTTTCGCACATCGAAGCAGATTGGAACTGCCGACTCCAAGAATACAAGGCAAACGCCTCATACCACTCGGGGACGGGCGAATTGAAATGCGCTCGGACGCAATTATTAAACCGTTGACAAGTCGCAAAGCAACGGTCCATGTGCGTATCTCGTTGGTTTGCGTTAAGGAATCATGAAGATGAGGAAGAGTGCGGTAAGATGGCTATTGGAAAGCATCTATGTGCACAAATTCTACGCTTCACAGAACAAATGCTACCATGGCTAGCATGAGGAAAAAAGGGAATCGAGCATCATAGATGTAGTGACGCAGCACTCTTGTCCTCAACACACATGAATTCGTGAGCTTAGGCTGACGAGGGTACACGGAATCAGCAACCCATCTGTTCAATTAAACAACTATGATCTGAGCGAGGTGAGGCGGATTCATTTACGGTGGCTAATGTCGTCAGATTGACAATGGCAGGATAAGCATGAGGGCAAACAGAAGAAAAAGAAAAAAGGGAGTTAAGGAAGAAGTGCGCAAAACTAATCGGAATGGAGTGGAATAGATGCGAGAAGCCGATTGCAGGTGCACCACTGACTGCGTGACTACGACATGTCCGATAGAGTCTCTACCGACTGATGTGGGCAATCCCGAGTCCCCCAACCACGTAGAAGGCACGTAAGAGCCTGATCAAGTCCCTCGTCGGTTGTTCTTCAACTGCGGAGGAACCATAAGTTAAATCGGGTCAGAGCCAAATGCAGGATGACTAGTTAAAGATAAGCACTAAAATCGGTTGTATTCTGAAATTTACAGGAGCCAGAAAGTTCATTTATTGCATGAATAAAATCAGTAATGATTGTAATACAAATAAACGGTATATTCCTCGAAAGTGTGAGGAATGGTAGATATTGCTCCCACTATCCCAATAATGAATTCCAGACCAGTGTCGAGAAGAATCCAACCGGTGGTAAGCACAATGTTCTAGTCTGAGTTCCAATCGGACTAGCTCTAGCAAAACAGCGGAAACAAGCATGACATCGGCGACGGAGTGCGCCCAGTGTTGGGAACCACCAGCGCAAAACATGGATTGGTTTCAGACAGTCCCAGCGACCAAACTGAATGGAGATTCACATAAAGATTGTATGCCGTATACATGTTACGAACCTATAAAACAAACATACAGTTATAACTGTTTTTCATGCGTTTGATCCCGGGTCCACTGTGACTTAATAGCATGCTTACCAGAGATGTCTTTGGCCTATACTGTGTAATTCGATCCCCAGTCTGTTAACTCATTATCAATACACGCTAGCTAAGGGACAGAAACGCACCTCAGCTAATGTGCCGCGATCTGATAAGAGACTAAAAAGTTACACCATAAGTTACACTACAAAAATATGCTGTTAAATATTATATGAGTTTGCATGAGATCGGGATTGGAAAAGTAATCTAAGGAGGGGAATGAACAGAGAAACTCAAATCACAAACACCACTGGGGCAGCTCTTCGCCGTATCAGTAAGTATGTTCAACGCAACGTGTTCATAATCCTTAGGACACCAGTCACGCAGTCGGGATGCACCAAGCGACGCTAACTTCGAAGTGAGGGTTTTCATTCTTCTTGACCAACTCACCGCTTGGTGTTCCCTCATCACCTTGCAACCGCACCCCCGGCGCGCAAACAATGCACCTCGCGAGAGGTGGTGTGCTGACAGGCGCAACATGAGGCTCAGCCATCGGAGCCTGGTGCGTGATATAATGGTGCTGAGCGGTTCACTCGATCTTCCTGCTCACGCGGTGCTCCTACCAGACATGAGCTAAGCTGCGAAGGCAGCGATAATCGAATGTGACGAACATCTTTATGTCTATCGACCTGATGGGCCAGGTTTCACAACCATACAGCAGAGTTGAACGGACGGCTGCGTTATAAACTCTGTCCTTCAGGGCGAGAGTAATGTCGTGTGTGCGCCACAGGTGACGCAAATTGGGAAAAACACCTCGAGCTTCTGCTCTACGGTTCGTAACCCCATTTTCGATTCCACGGACGCTAATATAGCTGCCCAGGTACCTGAATTCCTGAACGACTTCTAGATGATCCCCACCAAGCGTTAGCGCAGGGCTGGGTCCCTGCCAACCTTGGAGAAGTACTTCGCATTTCGATGGAGCAAAGCACAGCCCAAAACGATAGAACACCAGTACTAATCAGATGGGCTCAGCCTAGTAACTGAACCCATCTAACCGTCAATGACAGAAGTGACATAGCGGTGCCTACTTTTAAAGAAAGAATGAGACGAAGATGGAGAAGGAAGTTAAATTCGTTTGGTATAAGCAATCTATGAGCCGTCACTCGCAATTCGCTTGTGATCCAGTTGCCCAGGAAGAGATCAGCGGCCAAACAGTTCAGGCGTTTGAACTGCAAAAGCAATCACGGGTTCGAGTGCCCCTAATTCATCCCAGCTGATGACCAACATATCGCAGTCCCATGGTAGTGGAGCATCGTTACAATGTGATGATGTTCTGCTGGCACTTTTACACAAGTTGCCTAAACAAAAGAGGGATTTCAGGAGTGTAGACGATAAACAAGCATGCCCAAAATAATTAGCGAATGAACTGCTACAATCATGGGGCAATTAAACACAGGGTGCACGATGTGCCATTTACAGAATCAACACATAGAAAGGCAAAAACAAGTCTCAGACGATACAATCGAAAATTCTCGCTTTGGATGCACACAGCAAAACAAAGAGAGAAGTCGATGCAAATTTATGACCTTGAAACAACACTATTCCACTTCCGTTTCCCTTCAGGAATGTAGTACGGTTATGAATAAAAGCTCTATGACGACATACTGTGAGTCTGGTTTACTTCGTGTACTCTCAAGCGGCCGATAACATGCATGGAATGATAGGATCAAGTAAATACCTACGACTGAAAAGCTCTTGCGCGTTCCAACAACGTGTTCTGTGATCGAATAAAAAAATTTCTCGTGAAAGACAAAACAGCTGCGCTAATAAGAATAAATGTACCAGAAGAAGAAGCCTACTGGAAAGGCCCAAAGAGCACATAAGGGGTGTACTAAAAATGAACACAACCAAAACCCAGTCAGACTGACGACCAAAGCACTTCGCAAACACTGATACTGGTCAAATAACAACTGTATAAGCTTCTTTACTTCATTTAATCTTAAAAGGAGAAATTACTAAGTCTATCGACTCAGGCTTTTTTACCGGTACTGCCATCACCACATCACATTTTCAATTCAATTACTAGTCATTAGCTTTTCATTTTTGGCATGTAACTCTGTCCAAACTAATCAGCAGGAGAATTACGACTTGGCGAAAAGTATTCGCGCAGCGGTTTGCGTTTTTTTGACGAGACTCGTTCCGAGAAGCGTCACCGGATGTGAAAGTATTCCAAGTGTGAGAAAGCGTGCGCCGACGTATCTGTTCTTACTCTCTCATATTTATATTCTTCCTTCTTTCCTTGTTGACCACGACTGGGCTGACCTCCTTCCAGGCTAACAATTAGACCCATGCAAGGCATATTGACACTGGCTCATTGTCGTCAAAATTGGTGCCATGCTCGAACCGAGCAGAAAAATTGAAAAGGCTGGATGATTTGATTTTACATCATCCATTTATATAAACAGTATAAAAGATATACTGGCATACATGCTATTAGGCCACACCGGCACAAGACCAAATGAGGCAATGAAGTGCGGGCAAAACCTTTCGGGGGAATACCCTGCTTGGAAGCAGGTCTCCTGGAGACGGTTCCACAAATGGCCGTATTAATTTACTTGAAGATTCGACCAAGTCTCATTTATATTGTTCAAAATTTATCAACTTCAGTTTACTATAAATTCGTTTGTAGACCGTGCTGAAAAATGTTCAGTCATCTGATTTACACGATCTCGCTGTAACTACTTGACCAACCACTGAGTTGGACTGGGTCTCGCTTTGTCAATAAATACACCAATTGTAGGGTTTAGGTGTGGCTCTCTCCTATCTCTGCACTCCACGACCGACAGATTCGTCACCGGTTTGGACTCATCAGGTAAAGATAGCCGAGCTGGAAGTGGAAGTCGGCGCATACTGCTTGGCGGCTATCGACAGGTGCACTAGGCTACTAAGCTCCGCGAGCAGTGCTTGACACGGCGGCTAGAAACTTGATTTTCGGGTTTTGGAGCACCCACCGATTTCCTTGGATTGCGACACGCAATCTCAATTGTAGCCTCGATTGACTTTGAAGTCGGCCTCCGCCAATACCATCACTAGGATCGGCAGCGAAGTGGAGGGTTTCGGTGTGACTATCTCTACTTGATGAGTCCAAACCAGGAGGAAATCGTCGGTTGTGAAGTGCAGGGATGGGAGAGAACCACACCGAAAACCTCCACTTCGGTGACGGTCCCATTGATCGTATTGGTGGAGGCTGACTTCAAAGTCATTAGATCGTAACCATGGGACAGCTGATTCTTAACTGCTGACCCTCAAATCGCTGCAAATGAGCTCTATAGCAACATCAGAACTTGTCTTGACGTGGTCACATTGCTTAAGCGTAAATGCCTTATAAATCGAAAACATGCTGACAGCCTACCTCCCGAGATTACCAAGAAGATGGCAATTTTTCGCAGAAAGTACAGCCGGACGAACAATTTTGCACTGGTTCTACAACACCAACAACTCAGCCACGTACTATGCCCATCGCCAGTCAAGACAAGTGGCGGATGAAACGCATGCACTTTCGGGTAACAACAAAGAACTAAAGTTGGCGGATCTCTTAAAAAGTTGAAACCCTTACGATGAATGAAATTACTTTTATCGCGCTTCCCGATGGCTCCGTCGTACATGACCCTGTGATGGGAGTATACACTCGAACGAACGTGCGGTGCCAGCCCAGCAAGGAAGCCGTTAGGCTGCCGCAAGGAAAGGCGACAGCTGATTGGACGTTCACACTTTTCTCGCATGAACGCTGATTGGCCAACAGTTGGACGCATTGGAGTGAGTTTCTTTGACTGAATCAAAGGAAAAATGTCATGCATTCACAAAGGTCGTTAATTATGGATCCAACTAGCTGTATATACCGATATGTTTCACTCGCCTGCCTGCGTTTTCGCCTGGTCCTTTGTTTGCAGAATATACGTTTTGTCCCTGAAGGACCGACTTTTTACATGGTGTCAGAGAAGGAGAAGAACATTAGTACCACCAAGACGATGATTGGAGCTGCACCGGCTATTCAAATGCCTGCCCCGCTGAACATGCATGAACACAGTTTGGCAAGCAACTGGCGTTTATGGAAGAGCAAATGGATGGATTTCTGCACTTTATCGCGTCTGGACAAACAACCGATGGCGTACCGCTTGGCCCATCCAATCCCCTCCTCCTTCTCATCATCTCCTCTTCTCACTCTCCCAAAATAACCTCCCTACTCCCCCCACCATCAACCCCCCCCAACTCCTACCCCACATCATTCACTATCACATCACCTTCCACCCCCCACTCTCCAACCACCCCCCTCCCTCCCCCACCCCCACTCCAAATTATGTATTTCCCCACACTTTGTGTTATCCTCTAATCCTACTATATACCTACTCCACCCTCAAAATTCCTAACATATAAACATAAACATCCTATTTTAACTACCCCTCCTCACCTTTCCACTCAATAAAATTGTCATCAACTGACTCCTTAAATCCCTCATCTCACATCCCGCAAGCGTAAATCTCTCTGCAGCAATGTCTCGACATCTGTAACAGTGCTTCACCACAGCCTTCAGTTCAGCAGATGCCAATACACCCGGTGATTCAGATTTGTGCGCCTATTCAGGAGCCAAAGTACTGAGGGCCACGACGCGCGACAGGAGCCCTGCAACTTCTTGCAACCGGGACATCGATGAACGCGAACGTCATGATGTCGGGTCGTTTCCGCATTATGTGTCCCAATGTGGGCAGCGCAATCACTTTCGCCCGCTATCTTTCAGATACAGATTTCATATCCCACTATACCCTTCCCCCACCCTCGACACCTAACCACCACCTATATTACCCTATTACACTTCCCTCCTACTCCTCCTATATAACACCCTAAAATCATCTTCTACCAAATCCCCCCCCCCCAACCCAACAACACTCCCCCCCCCCCCACCCCCCCCAACACCCCCCCCAAACCCACCCCCCACCAACCACCAACCACCCCACACCAACCCCCCCCCCCCACACCACCCCACACCCACACCCCCACCCCCCCCCACACACACACACCCACCAACCCCCCACCACCCCCCCCCCCCCCCCCCCCCAACACCCCAACCCCCCACACCCAACCCACAACCCCACAAACACCCAACATAAACCACACCCCCCCACCCCAACCCCACACATCACACCCCACAACCCACCCCCCCAGCTTCATCCTACACAACCTCAAACCCCATCCCCCATCGCACCCTACCCCCCAACACATACTAACCTTCCCCCACTTTTTTCTAAACTTTTTATTTTCAAATCTCCTACCCTACCCCCCCCCCAACATAACTCACCCCCAACCCTACTATATAGACCCTGCATATTACTATCATAACCAGATCTCATCATAGCTGCATAGCTATTTCTCCTCGCATGCGAAGTCGCCCCGCGGCCTCTCTCCCCAGTATAGTGTGCCCTCACTGTCACATCGCTCGAAAATGTTCGAAACACGACAACCATAGACTCTAAACTGCCACTCCCACTGTGGAAAATCTAGTGTCTCTTCCTCTGTGTAAAGTATCTGAACCTACCCATGCACCCCTCCCACGCCCCGCCCTATGTCTGTGCTCCACCATCAATGATCCGCTCCGTACACTATGAGACCTCGCACGACAATTGTGTCTTCCTTCACCGTCACCAGTTGTCTCCAGTATGAGTGTGACACGCTATGCTGCTGCTATCAACTCGCATCGTGTCTTAATGTAATAGTGCGAGGATAGTTCAATGCACTCCCCTGACTGTATCTCGTTGCACCTGTCATGCACAAGACTTACACTGAACTGTGCCACTCCACTGTCTCGTCGATACCAGATATATACGCTACTCCTCGCACTTGGTGCTACATCCTAGACAGAATCGACTACCCCCTCCCTCGCCCTCGAGCCCTCACCTCCCATAAGCATACAGTTACGCACGTCATACATGTCACGACTAGCCCTGATCACGCCATCCTCTCCAAGACATGAACGCCCTCCGCCTTAATTTGCACACAACCATGTGAGATGTTCCCGCTACCACAACAATGCCTCCAACTCCCATATTATCCCCCCTCACATGAAATCCCACAGTCTGACGACACACTAAATATCCTCGTCATGTACCCTACTATGTATAGCTTGATACACCGGACCTCATTATGTTCAGTGAATCCAGACCATACTGCTACCATCCATTAGTCCATGTGAATACAACAGAACACCTCCATCATAACTCACCAAAAGACCCCTACTCAGTCGTGTGTCCCCATGAGAGACTGATTTCATCTCTCTCTCACCTAAATATTCCCATCCTACGTATCTCTCCTCTCTAGCGATACATAAACCACCAATTCGAGGTACTTAGCCAACTTTCCGCCAGTCACCTCTATCGCTGTGTGTGTCTATGTCCCCCTGACTCAGTATCACGACCTGTCCGAGTGTGCTGCGCTTCGCTACCTCGCCGTGTCTCTCCCCTAGTCCTCTAGATGTCTGTAGTCTTTCCGATACAGACAACCCGCAAGTGCAGAGACCCGTCTATATGAATGCCACAACACGTCAGAGATCACCTACTATTTTGTATACCTACCGAGTACCGTCCACTGCATTTGACCACTAAATGCACGAAACAATCAACCGTCTCTACTCTAAACCTCCCCGAGCACCTAAAGATCTAACGCCTGTCCCGTTGAGCTCCCGCCGGCCCATTTTATACCTCTCTAGTCTACATTGATGCGACGACCAACTCGTCCCGCTCCCTCACCAAAATTTGTCGACGTCTGACCTCCCTAGTATGTCTAGTTCATCTCCCTCTATTGCACTCATGTTCAGATCCGTCTGTCGCGTACCTCCCTCTCCGCACGCTCTTCCACGTGACCTACATATCATCATGTAGTGTATGTATATTCATCTACTCACCCGATGTGACAATTACACCATAATACTGCCCTATGTGAATTATTTAAGCGGTTCCTCACCTAGAGAGATCTTGCCCGCTGAATCACCCGAGGCAGTGACGTGTGCGAGCCATTTATCGCGATAACCGTGTATGCCTCTCACTAATACCGGCGAGCACACTGTTACGCCCGACTCGCAATTATTTGGCGTAGTGATAATCAGAGTAACTGCGACTGTATTGTTATAGTTCAGCTACTCATTATCATGATATTGTAGCACCACCGCTGTCTCCCAACACTCGTAAATAAGCTGTTGTCACCGAGTCCACATCCCGATTTTATATTACTCCTGCACACTCACCTCTGCTGTTACATCCCTGATGTTCGGTATCCTCTGTAGACCCGTGTCGCTATCCTTCGACTTTGTAGTCCTCACGTAAGTGTCGATTGAATTCTCTCGGTGCTGTGACTTAGCTCGTAATCTTCGCATAAGACCCATATCACGAGCACCAAAAATGTGTCACCTCTCTGGCCTCGCGCACTCTTCCGCCCGTGCCTCCGACGCATTAATCACTACCTCACGAAAGGACACCAAGAACCCATGCAACAGCCCGCCGTCATCAGCACCTACCCCAGACTCGAATAGATAAAGCACCGAGATGCCGAACATGACTCATCCGACCCGGCTCCCTAGAGTGACCAACACTACGGCTAGCCCGCCCTCCAGATCCACTGCAGCTCGAGACTCTAATGTCTCTTGAAGATCAGCCACACTGCGAACATAACACCCGCCAGCATACTCTCGAATCACTGTCGAATCACGCTTCCCGCGCCCTGTGCAACGACTTGACCACCATCCTCCCCTCCAATCTCTACAACCCACTGCTAATCATAACCAACGATCATCCCTCTCGCCGTAACTGATCAGCGCTCCACTTGCATCGAGCTGAGATCAGCCGATACGCCCCAACGTCGTCGCTCTGCGCACATCCCAACCGACACCTGCTCGTGCCTACAGATGACTCGGCACCTCCAACGACGCGCTTCCCATCCGAGCTCCCCGCCGCACCACACCCCGCGCTACCGCCCGCACCCCGCAGCACATATCCGCCACCGCGCCGCGGCCCACCCCCCCCCCTCGCCCCCCCCCCCCCCGCACATACAAATCGCCTAGATCGATCGATCGCCAGATGTCGAGCACCCTCGGCGCGAATCGCCCACTCTCCTGGGAAGTGACACAGAACACCACGCTCAGTAGACTTCGACAATAAGGCGCCCTCCCTTCCACCACCGGCACGCCGCCCCCCAACCCGCTCCACTCTCAATTGTCCTGCAGCACTTCGCCCGCACCGAAACGTTATCCTCAATGGGTGGCCGGAAACAAAGAAGCAGCTCCCGAAAGAATTAACACCCTACTTCAATTTCGGGACGAACTCACTGTCTGTGACGGTCTGTTGTTCAAGGGAAGTCGAATCCTAATCCCTTCTTCTCTCCGAAGGAGATGCTGGAGCATTTCCATCGCGCTCACCTGGGTGCAAATTACACCATTAATCGAGCAAGAGAACTGATGTTCTGGCCAGGAATGACAGGTCAGATCAAGGATCATGTGTCTAACTGTGAGGCGTGCCGTTCACACGACATTCGGCAAACAAAGGAACCGATGATGCTGCATGATGTTCCGGACCGACCGTGGCAAAAGGTAGCAGTGGATCTATTCTGGGACAACGGAAAGGATTACTTACTCACGGTGGACTACTATAGTGATTACTTTGAAATCGATTTACCCACCACCTCGACCACGGAGACAGTAATCAACAAACTCAGATGTCAATTCGCACGGCACGGGATACCAGGGGAGCTAGTCTCGGACAACGGTCCCCAGTTCAGCAGCAGGGCATTTCAGGCTTTCACAACCAAATGGGAATTCGCACACCGGCAAACCAGTCCCTATCACAGTCAATCAAATGAGAAGGCAGAGTCGGCAGTGAAGCAAGCCAAGCGACTATTAGCGAAGGCTAGAGATACTCGGGAGGACCCATACCTCATGCTACTGGAGAGTCGCAACACTCCTACAACGGATATCGGCCTGAGCCCAGTGCAGCGCCTATACAGTCGAAGGACCAGAACTGTGATGCCTGCATCCGCAACACTTCTGCGCCCTGTCACGCCACAACTTGAGAAAGTACAGAACAGTTTGAAAAGGCGAATGGCTACTCAGAAACGGTACTACGACAACGGCGCACGGGAATTACCTGAGCTGACAGTGGGGGAAGAAGTATGTGTTGAACCAATTCCCGATGGACAGGAGCGGTGGAGAAAAGGAGTCGTGGCTGCGAAAGTCGGTGAAAGGTCATACGAAGTAAATGTTGGAGGGAAGAAGCTGAGAAGAAACCGAGTACAGCTGAGGAGATGTCCGAGGCGACAGCATGAATCAGGGAGAGAGCGTTATACTGCGTGCGGCAATGAGGCGACATCGGCAGATCCAACAAAGAGGACGTGGAGTGGTAAAGTGTATGGACTATTTAGCAAATTACAGCAGCAAGAACATGAAAGAGGGGGGATGTGATGGGAGTATACACTCGAACGAACGTGCGGTGCCAGCCCAGCAAGGAAGCCGTTAGGCTGCCGCAAGGAAAGGCGACAGCTGATTGGACGTTCACACTTTTCTCGCATGAACGCTGATTGGCCAACAGTTGGACGCATTGGAGTGAGTTTCTTTGACTGAATCAAAGGAAAAATGTCATGCATTCACAAAGGTCGTTAATTATGGATCCAACTAGCTGTATATACCGATATGTTTCACTCGTCCGATGCCTGCGTTTTCGCCTGGTCCTTTGTTTGCAGAATATACGTTTTGTCCCTGAAGGACCGACTTTTTACAGACAATATCTCCATTACCGAGGCTTTGAACTGGCAATTTTGTTCATCGTCTAGCAAAGCCACTTATTCCGCTTCATTTGACTTACCCACTGTAACCTTCAACGAACTTTTCAAGGTAGAATTTTCCCTCCGAGATACATAAAAAACAATTGGGACTATGAAACAATCTAAATACGAAAGTTCAAATGCTCTTCCATCAATCGCACTAAAACTAAGAGGAAAAGATAACCAACTTCTTTTGCTCAATTTATTCTCGCTTTCAATGAA